TATATATATATATATATATATATATATATTACACGATCAATCATACTGCGCTGTTAAATACGGCACACATGCAGCCAAATTTCGGCACGTGGCAGTATATATTATACAGATTAGACGTTATATATTTCCACGTGGCGCACTTCCCGACTCAATCGGCGCCTTTGTTACCGCTGAACAGACGCAGCGAATTCTCTATTTTACAGTAGCTTGAGAAAATGCCTGAGCATTCGTAGATATGTTACGTTATCAAAAATATTTGCAATTCCACATTGGACATTAATCGTGACGACCAGGGGAACAACAGGACAACGATGTCGACGTAATAATAACGTCGCAACGACGTTGTTTACGATAGAGGCGCGTTACGATTATAAAGCGCGGGTTGAGACACCCACACGTAAGTAGATGTTGATCACGTGTATATATGTAGAACGATACGATTCGCAAATAACGGTGTTGCTGTCAGATCCGTGCCCGTTGCGGCCAATTACACTGTGGGAAGATAGGCAACGCTCGCGTTACGTGAATAAGCGTTCGTAAATTCATAACGAAGCAGAGAGTGGTTTAGAAAGCGGACGCGAACTGCACAAAAAACCGTGTAACTGTATGGCAGTGATACACGATTCATTTTCTGCTCGCCGAAGACTACACCAAACTGTAGTAATTTAAAAATATATTTTTCTTTAAAATGTACATGTATAACGCGGGGTGTGTATATAAGACAATTTCATTTTTCATTTTTGCAATTTTGAATTGCACGTACGTTCTCAATTCACGTAACATATCGTAAGCGCCGGTTTGAAAGCATTCGCTGAAACCAATAGTGCTGCATCGTGAGATCGTGTATTATCGATCATGCGAAGAAAATCCGATAAAAGGAGCTTTGTAGAAAGAGAAAATCAGGAACACGATCGATCCCGCGATCGTATCGAGTAATCTTCAATTTTCACGATTGCTCGACGCCGCTTAACTTGTGCATGAAACACTCTCGTCGAATCGTAACACGGCTAGATAGACGAGCAAATTTACAGCGACGATAGCCACTATGAAACTATCTATTAATTGGGGAAATCAGCGATCCGCCACGGCAAAATTACTCATTCACGTTGTTACTTTTCTGGTCAAGGTAATCGTAATAATTCGCGTGTTATCAACGAATAACACTTTTAAATGTGCAGGTCGTCAAAGTTGGCGGATTTCTAAAAGATTGAAATGCGAAAGACGCATGTTGAAAAATGATGGAAAACAATATTCGCATTATTTAACGATAAAATTATGTATAACGTACATGGTGTTTAAGATTAATATTAAGATTATGCATAACATGTGTAATCTTATATATAACATACATGATCTTGTGTATAACAACATATAGTCTTACATGTAAAAAATATGTACTCGTCAATAATATCAAAGGCAATATCAAAAAGGCAATATAAAAACAATATCAAAGGCAAATAATACGTTTAAACTCGCACCCGTTGAAAGAGAAAGCAAGAAACATAACCAACAAAATGAAAAGTATGCCCCCGATGCGATGTTTACATGGAAAAAGGATACAAATAACGGAGTTTTTAGCTCGGCCGAGTTTCCAAAACGAACAAAAGCTAAGAAATTAATAATTCTAATAATTACCTTGAAGTATCCTCCTTGGTAAAGCGTATCCGGGGGCCCGAAGATAGCTACTTCCCACTTAAACATGTTGTCCTCGTTAACGAGTTTTACTCGGAATCCCTCGACGGGCTCCTCTTGAAGGCTTTTATATTCGAGGGCAAGTGCCCTTAGTGCGCTGCTCGTTGTTTGTGCCATATTTCTCTTCTGGAAGTAGAGTCTGCAATCTGTTCCAGGAAGCGGAACGTCCTAAACCTCCCGAAGTAGTACCACAGAACACTATAGTCGGACGGACGCCGTTACACTGCTCCTTCTCGACAGAATAAATTTCCAGACAATTTGTAGCTTTTACTACGGTTCCGTTAGCTTCTCCTCGACGCGCCGTGACCTTTCACTCGCGGCAGGACGTTTTCTATGATGATAGTACGATTCTGCACATCAAATAAACAAAGAAATATGATCAGACCCACAAACTGCGAAGTGCCCCTCCAATCAACAATATAGTTTCCCAACGCACGCAACTTGAGAACAAAACAGCTGACGTACCGTCTGCGTCAGCGTTGCTTCTCGCGCATGCGCACTCCGATATTCCCTATTTTTCTTCCGTGACACTTTTCTAACGAATAATTAATCTGGAACACATCAATCGTTGTGTTGAAACTGACTGAAAAGCCTTCTTTTACATTATTATTCCAGCTGACGTTGGAAATGTTGGAACAACTGAATACGAGCAGTTTAATAAGTTTCTAGATTTCCTGTTCCCTGATTGGAAAGTAAGTCTCCAATCACGTGACGCGTAAAGAACCTACGTACGTATATAGGTTGTCGCTCAAATCTTTCTTGTAAAACGGAGTGCTGATTGTGTATTTCTGCGTAGGTACTAACGGAAACAACCAATCAGAAGGCCGTAATGTGTAGTGTATTCTCATTGGAAAACGAAAATGTAAATCTATTGGATATTAATAATTAGTCAATGTGTATGAAATCTCCATAGTAGATGTTATGTGGTTAATGCCTACATGACAAATCATGTTTCGAACTTAATTAAAAAGTACAATGCAAAGATGCAAAAAATAAAAGACGTATAGACTTTTAATATTGAAGTACGAATAAATATAAAAAAATATTTCAATATTTCAATAGATAATATTCTTATCACATTTCTGTAGTTATGAAAATTTGTTGATACATCATGACTTTTAACTTTTTTGTGTATCTATCCCCACTTTGCACGTACGGCGGTGTAACATTTTATCCTTAGGATTAGTTAAGTCAGATGCCCCGTACATCGTAGACGTAATTCACAAGATTTATACAACGTGATTTATCGAATTCATCTATACTGAATACATTTATTATATACAGAATTCACGATGTCCACTTCGAACACACCTCTTGTAGATCCTGAGCTTTTTAAAACTTTTGCATTTTGGGGCAGTATACTTGCTATAAAATTACTCGCAATGGCACCATTAACAGCACGCTACAGATTTAAAAATATGGTATTGTATATGTATTAACTTTCATTCTGTCATACAAAATTATCATTATTTATATTGTACACAAAAGTAGGAATTATAATTTCTACATTTATTGTTGCAGGCATTTTCAAACATTGAGGATACAAAAGGATTGAAAGGAGCAAAAATTAATACCAGTGATGCAGAAGTTGAACGTGTACGCAGGGCACATTTAAATGATTTAGAAAATATTCTTATATGGTATATCGTTACATTTGCTTGGTTAACCACAGGACCTTCTGCATGGTTAGCTACAATTTTAATCAGGAGTTTTGTAATTGCTAGAGTTGGTCACACAATATCGTATGTTATTTTGTCAAAACAACCTCATAGAGCACTAGCTTTCTTTATAGGCTTCCTCATTACTGTATATCAAGCAATGAGCACTGTGTTGTATTATTATTAAAATGTTAACATTCCAGTTTTATTTTTATATATTCTTTAATTTTTGTATATTCTTTAATTTTTGTTAACATTGTAGTTATTAATAAAACGTATTAAAAAGTTAAATAATATTTTAGTTATTTAAAACTCTATCTGCATCGAAAGAACTTATTTCTTTTACCCTAATATCACTGGTTTAAAAATAAATTGTAGATAACTGCTAATACTGTACCCATTATCATGACTCTCATTTCGTATAATGATAATATAAAGCTTTACAGCAATTTGTATGCCAATGAAATCAATATAAATTTTTTGCATTTAATATGTTTGAATTGATGTATAATATATTCTTGGAATAAATCTTATTAATCTAGATGTAGTTGATGAAAATGTCTTTGAACATAGTTTAATACCTAACAAAGACATACTATTAGATTAAAGATTTAATTTTTACTTTAGGAGCAATGTTTACTCAAAGTATAGTGGACTTTGTATCATGAATAGTATGAATTTTTATGTACAAGTCAATTCATATGCAAGTGCTAATGAATGTGACATGCATAAATGTATATATGTATATACTAGTCAAAAGTGAAATTATTTATACTTAAATGGATGGATTAATTATTATGTACAAAACTATTATACTCAATATACATTTTATAAAAAATGAAGAAATTTTCTGGATTATAAAACATTTATCTTTTGAAGAACCATGTTGTTACGTATAGTTATCTTCAATACTACAAGTCACGTTATTAATGTCAATAACATTTATTTAAAATTTAAAAAAATTTAGAAATTATCCCTTTCACTTTCGTCAATTACATTCATAATATAAATTTAAAGAATACGATTATCGTCACGTTTGGTACATTGGTAGGAACGACTGAAACACACTCGTTGCACTTTGTTTTTATTGGTTTATATTTTATCGGAAATCATTTCCGGTTGTATATTGCCGCGTTACAATCTACACAATAGAAACGAAGTGCGCATGAGCAAACGTTGTTGTGCGCGGTCGTCATGGCGACGTTGTCTCGACGCCAATGGGCGCGGGAACGTCAGACGTCGCGATGTATCTGTGAGGTGCGAACCGCCGTCGGTGCAACGGCGTCCCGCCGTTACCGAATGTGTGCCAAACGTTTGTTCGGTTTCGTCGGGAAACAATGCGTTGTTTCACTGCGTACCTCCGAACAATCAACACCACGACGTCGCGGTTCGGCAGTGTTCGAAGAAACCACTGTCATCCGTCGCCGATACGATGTCAATTCAGTCGATATGATGCGTAGAAATTCTGGCAGGAAGATATAACTGAAAGGTGAGTGTTAATTTGACTTTTCAAACTCACCAAAACTTCCTTACCGATGTATAATCAAAATTACGCGGTTCTTACCCTGAAAGTGGGAAGGGAAGATGAAAATTTCTATGCTTCGTATCGTTTACGTTGATTAGATTTGAACGCACGTTACTTTAGACTCGTGAACAGCATTCGCTCTGCAACATCTCAACCGTTTAACCCGGCGCACGTAAAACGCGAGAAAGATCGTACGTTAAGCGGAGAACGCAAAGTAGGATTCTTCTCTTCCTTTGATCTGACATAAGTACGGGTACCTTTGTATGTGGTACGTGAAATCAGACGTGGTGCTTGTCTTTGATCTGTCTTCCAGAAAGCGCAATTCCTAGGGTTTTCCTATTTTCCTTTAAAATTTCATTCGTACGAAGCAGCTTGGAAAGCAGCTTTGCTTTTTAATCATCCGTTTGATGATTCCGTTTCGCAAACGAAAATTCTTGCTTAACATTTGAAGTTTGAATTTTGCACCTCGCGAGTTAACGACGATGCCACACGACCGACAGCAGTGTTACAACGGTTGCCGCTTTACAGGGGTTCCACACACGATCCGACTTCCCCGTAAGCCAACGTCCACTGTAGAGTATCGATGTATCGATCAATTACGATTGACGCAACCAATAATTCTTCGATGCAAGGAAGAACGAGAGAAGGAAGGAATCACCTTGTATTAATATTTAGACTATACTCCATCGTACTTACATATTTATCATTATGTCGTGACTCGAATACAAGGTTGTACATTCATGCGACAATTGTGATCGATTTTCATCGCGTTTATTTCTACCATTCACTATACTCCGAGCATATGTGAATCGCGATATGGCCTGTTCTTTTAGTACCGCCTTCATGTACTTTCTATTGTTTCATCAATACTCTCTCTGGTAACCGCATCTGCAGCGCTAGACAGATATACCTATACGTCTATGTATATATACATATCCGCCCGCGTGGACGCTTCCTTGTATAAGCAAGGATCCCTGTTGTTCCGTTGATCTCGATAGAATTCCACTCGCAGGAAGATAGAGTTCGCGTGCGAGAGATATCTAGGCCAGCAGGCTCTGCCGAAAAATGTTAACATGTACGGCGGTCGGTGTGATTATCCGTGATGAAGTGTGCGTGGTACGCGGCTGATTACCAAGCGACATATTGACCCCGTAGTTTCTGTTCTCAAGATAAGAGATAGATGCCTTTCATGTGTGCCAATGCTGCACGCGGCCTCGATAACTGTATATTGTTGCATCATAATTACATTTCTATCGATACCCTTTGCTGACTGTCGCCATTTGTCGCGGCGAAATCTGTCTCGATATACATTATATATATATATATATATATATATATATATATATATAT